TCATTAACCACACCCTGCCTCATCACTAATCCCCACCCTGCCTCATCACTAACCACACCCTGCCTCATCACTAACCACCACCCTGCCCTCATCACTAACCACCACCCCGCCTCATCACTAACCACCACCCTGCCTCATCACTAACCACCACCCTGCCTCATCACTAACCACTACCCCGCCTCATCACTAACCACCACCCCGCCTCATCACTAACCACCACCACGCCTCATCACTAACCACCACCCTGCCTCATCACTAAACCACCACCCGCCTCATCACTAACCACCACCCCGCCTCATCACTAACCACCACCCCGCCTCATCACTAACCACCACCCACCCCCTCATCGCTACCACCACCCCGCCTCATCGCTAAACACCACCCCCGCCTCATCGCTAACCACCACCCTGCCTCATCACTAACCACCACCCTGCCTCATCACTAACCACCACCCCGCCTCATCACTAACCACCACCCTGCCTCATCACTAACCACCACCCCGCCTCATCACTAACCACCACCCCGCCTCATCACTAACCACCACCCTGCCTCATCACCTAACCACCACCCTCCCTCATCACTAAACCACCACCCTGCCTCATCACTAACCACCACCCCACCTCATCACTAACCACCACCCCGCCTCATCACTAAACCACCACCCTGCCTCATCACTAACCACCACCCCACCTCATCACTAACCACCACCCTGCCTCATCACTAACCACCACCCCGCCCATCACTAACCACCACCCCGCCTCATCACTAACCACCACCCTGCCTCATCACTAACCACCACCCTGCCTCATCACTAACCACCACCCCACCTCATCACTAACCACCACCCTGCATCACTAACCACCACCCCCGCCTCATCACTAACCACCACCCCGCCACATCACTAACCACCACCCTGCCTCATCACTAACCACCACCCTGCCTCATCACTAACCACCACCCTGCCTCATCACTAACCCCACCACGCCTCATCACTAACCACCACCCTGCCTCATCACTAACCACTACCCTGCCTCATCAGTAACCACCACCCTGCCTCATCACTAACCACAACCCCGCCTCATCACTAACCACAACCCCGCCTCATCACTAACCACAACCCCGCCCTCATCACTAACCACCACCCTGCCTCATCACTTACCACCACCCTGCCTCATCACTAAACCACCACCCCGCCTCATCACTAACCACCACCCGCCTCATCACTAACCACCACCCCGCCTCATCACTAACACCACCCAGCATCATCACTAACCATCACCCCGCCTCATCACTAAACCACCACCACTCGCCTCATCACTAACCACCACCCCCGCCTCATCACTACGACCACCCTGCCTCATCAGTAACCAACCACCCTGCTCATCACTAACCACCACCCCGCCTCATCACTAACCACCACCCGCCTCATCACTAACCACCACCCAGCCTCATCACTAACCATCACCCCCCTCATCACTAACCACCACCCCTGCCTCATCACTAACCAACCACCCGCCTCATCACTAACGACCACCCTGCCTCATCAGTAACCACCACCCTGCCTCATCACTAACCACCACCACCGCGCCTCATCACTAACCACCACCCGCCTCATCACTAACCACCACCCTGCCTCATCACTAACCACCAACCCTGCCTCATCACTAACCACCACCCGCCTCATCACTAACCACCACCCTGCCTCATCACTAACCACCACCATGCCTCATCACTAACCACCACCCGCATCATCACTAACCACCACCCCACCTCATCACTAACCACCACCCCGCCTCATCACTAACCCCCACCCTGCATCATCACTAACCCCCACCCCCTCATCACTAACCCCACCCTACATCATCACTAACCACACCCCGCTCATTACTAACCCCCACCCTGCATCACTAACCCCCACCCCGCCTCATCACTAACCCCCACCCCTGCATCATCACTAACCACACCCCCGCCTCATCACTAACCCCCACCCTGCATTATCACTAACCCCCACCCTGCCTCATCACTAACCACACCCCGCCTCATCACTAACCCTCAATCTGCCTCATCACTAACCCCCACCCAGCCTCATCACTAACCACACTCCGCCTCATCACTAACCACACCGAGCCTCATCACTAACACAACACCCAGCCTCATCACTAACCACACCCTGCCTCATCACTAACCACACCCTGCCTCATCACTAACCCCCACCCTGCCTCATCACTACCACCACCCCGCCTCATCACTAACCACACCCCGCCTCTCATCACTAACCCACACCCTGCCTCATCACTAACCACCACCCCGCTTCATCACTAACTCACCCCGCCTCATCACAAACCCCACACGCCTCATCACTAACCAACACACCCGCCTCATCATTAACCACACCCTGCCTCATCACTACCCTCCACCCTGCCTCATCACTAACCACACACCCCGCCTCATCACTAACCACACCCCGCCTCATCACTAACCACCACCCCACCTCATCACTAAACCACACCCCGCCTCATCACTAACACCTACCCTGCCTCATCACTAACCCCAGCCCACCTCATCACTAACCCCCACCCTGCCTCATCACTAACCCACACCCGCCTCATCACTAACCACACCCTGCCTCATCACTAACCACCACCCTGCCTCATCACTAACCACACCCCGCCTCATTCACTAACCACAACCCTGCCTCATCACTAACCCCCACTCTGCCTCATCACTAACCACCCTGCCTCATCACTAACCACACCCCGCCTCTCACTAGCCACACCCCGCCTCATCATTAACCACACCCTGCCTCATCACTAATCCCCAGCCTGCCTCATCACTAACCACCACCCCTGCCTCATCACTAACCACCACCCGCCTCATCACTAACCACCACCCTGCCTCATCACTAACCACCACCCTGCCTCATCACTAACCACTACCCCCCGCCTCATCACTAACCACCACCCCGCCTCATCACTAACCACCACCACGCCTCATCACTAACCACCACCCTGCCTCATCACTAACCACCACCCCGCCTCATCACTAACCACCACCACCGCCTCATCACTAACCACCACCCCACCTCATCACTAACCACCACACCGCCTCATCGCTAACCACCACCCCGCCTCATCGCTAACCACCACCACCCGCCTCATCGCCTAACCACCACCCTGCCTCATCACTAAACCACCACCCTGCCTCATCACTAACCACCACCCACCGCCTCATCACTAACCACCACCCTGCCTCACACTAACCACCACCCCGCCTCATCACTACCACCACCCCCGCCTCATCACTAACCACCACCCTGCCTCATCACTAACCACCACCCTGCCTCATCACTAACCACCACCCTGCCTCATCACTAACCACACACCACCACCTCATCACTAACCACCACCCCACCTCATCACTAACCACCACCCTGCCTCATCACTAACCACCACCCCACCTCATCACTAACCACCACCCCGCATCACTAACCACCACCCCGCCTCATCACTAACCACCACCCCGCCTCATCACTAACCACCACCCTGCCTCATCACTAACCACCACCCTGCCTCATCACTAACCACCACCCCACCTCATCACTAACCACCACCCCGCATCACTAACCACCACCCCGCCTCATCACTAACCACCACCCCACCAACATCACTAACCACCACCCTGCCTCATCACTAACCACCACCCTGCTCTCACTAACCACCACCCTGCCTCATCACTAACCACCACCCCGCCTCATCACTACACCACCCTGCCTCATCACTAACCACTACCCTGCCTCATCAGTAACCACCACCCTGCCTCATCACTAACCACAACCCCGCCTCATCACTAACCACAACCCCGCCTCATCACTAACCACAACCCGCCTCATCACTAACCACCACCGTGCCTCATCACTTACCACCACCCTGCCTCATCACTAACCACCACCCCGCCTCATCACTAACCACCACCCCGCCTCATCACTAACCACCACCCTGCCTCATCACTAACCACCACCCTGCCTCATCACTAACCACCACCCCGCCTCATCACTAACCACCACGCCTCATCACTAACCACCACCCTGCCTCATCACTAACCACCACCCCGCCTCATCACTAACCACACCCCGCCTCATCACTAACCACCACCCTGCCTCATCACCCCGCCTCATCACTAACCACCACCCCGCCTCATCACCCCGCCTCATCACTAACCACCACCCCGCCTCATCACTAACCACCACCTTGATTACTGAACCAACACTTGGAGACTATTATTTGTGTATTTTTAAGAACATAAGAAAGAAGGAACACTGCAGCAGTCCTACTGGCCCATGCGAGGCAGGTCCAAGTCTCCTACCGGCTTATGCCAATGCACCCAACCTCGTCAGGTCAGGTCACTTAAGGAAGGAACACGGCAACTGACCCAGTAGCACACTTTAGCTGGATTATAAATTACATAAGAGTAGACAGTATTTTTATTTGTAATATTACTGTTGTTGTTACTTTAATGAGAGTAATTACTACTATATTATGTAGCAGCGGCCGCTGGCAAACTGCTCTCATCAGTTTTTTCATATAACGAAAAGTTTTTCAGTTTATAAAAAAGTTCAGTAATAACAACATCAATAATCTACCTTCACATTCACTCATTACGAAAAAATAAGTAAATATTTTATTATTAGACAATATAATTAACAAAAGTATTGGCTGGCCAGTGATGCTAACGGGAAACATTCTTATGATGATGTTATTTTAGTTGTCAACATTGACAACAATAGTTATTTGACTGGTATAAAAATTTGAAGCTGAGACTAATGAGATTTCCTAAAAGAAAACGGCAGTTTGAACTTAACAGTATTTTCGAAGCAGCAGTATCTGAGCAGTGAACAATTGTCTCGTTTTAAGGCCATTCTGGGAGGTCGTTAAATATTTAACCGTTAACGTGTTCACTCTAATTTTTGTGTCCGGGTGTAGATAACGGCTAAGAGTTCCGCAATGATTGTGGCTATCTCGCTCGATAAGCTTAGGTAAGCTGAACATGACTAAATGTGGGAAATTACCGCCCTAGGTCACTTGTGGGTTAGTATTTTCTTAACCCCCAGCTTGGATAAGATAAGCAAGGCTCTCGTAGCTCTATCTGTGACGCATTTCGTAAAGCTTACTTCATAAGATCTATTCTGTAATGACAGAATAATATAATGTCATGTATGATGTGACTAGTTACTATACCTGGAGTTTACCTGGAGAGAGTTCCGGGGGTCAACGCCCCCGCGGCCCGGTCTGTGACCAGGCCTCCTGGTGGATCAGAGCCTGATCAACCAGGCTGTTACTGTTGGCTGCACGCAAACCAACGTACGTGCCACAGCCCGGCTGGTCAGGAACCGACTTTAGGTGCTTGTCCAGTACCTGCTTGAAGACTGCCAGGGGTCTGTTGGTAATCCCCCTTATGTATGCTGGGAGGCAGTTGAACAGTCTCGGGCCCCTGACACTTATTGTATGGTCTCTTAACGTGCTAGTGACACCCCTGCTTTTCATTGGGGGGATGTTGCATCGTCTGCCAAGTCTTTTGCTTTCGTAGTGAGTGATTTTTGTGTGCCAGTTCGGTACTAGTCCCTCTAGGTTAGATATATGTAATTTATTGACTGCTTGTTGTACGTTAAGACAACTTTCCATTAAGCTAAATTTTCAACGAAAATTTCCTGCAGTATTATGTTTGTAAAGTAAAAGGACACAAGTGCAACTAATGTGACATTTTATTGTGGCAACGTTTCGCTCTCCAGGAGCTTTATCAAGCCATTACAAACAATACATGGACACAGAGGGTATATAAAAGCTCAGAGTGAGGTGCAATACTAGTGATATTTACTAGATGCATCCTCAATTAAATGGTGAACTGCTTTGGTATCGCGTAGCTGTAAGGGTAAAAATTTTGGTAATAATAATAATAATAATATTGTTGTTGTTGTTTGAAGAAATACCTTTGACCTTTCCTTTGTCCAAATACATAGTTATTTTTCAGTAACTAGAAATATGTAAGCACCCGTTCTTCCTAAGTTTGACATATTTTTCTAAGACTCTCACGAGGTTAGTGCTTCACAATGAATACCCTGGTATTACCTGGGAAGATCGATAGGCTATGCAAACGTTCATTACAATTTTTCCGAGTACATTAACTCTGGCTTTGAGGGACAAGAGCTAGAGGTGTCAGCAAGATCGTTAGTTGGTTGCCTAATAAGGTTTAAAGCCTGGGTCACTAGGGTCATTAACACTGTATATGACCTTTTCACCCCAAATAAGAATACTTCAACATATACACACTTATAGAGATTCACCTCTGGGCAGGGCCGGATTACCGCATAGGCAAACTAGGCATTTGCCTAGGGCCCCGCGCATTTGGGGGCCCCGCGGTCCAAGGGGTTCAGGGGCTCATCCAAGACTGCGCACATGGTGCAAGTGCAGAGGGGTCCCTACCTAAAAAGTTGAAGTGATTGGACCCCTCAAGGAAGGTTCCTTGATGTTGGTGAGGGGCTCTTGATTTAGGGAATTAGATCTGTGCTCCAGTTCCCCGAATTAAGCCTGAATGCCTTCCACATCCCCCCCTCCAGGCGCTGTATAATCCTCCGGGTTTAGCGCTTCCCCCTTGATTATAATAATAATAATAATCAAGTGTTTGGAGAGTAAAATTGATTTTTAAAAATTAATCAAAACAAAGATAAATAATGAAATAAAATAAAATCAAACAAATCAACCCACTTGCTGAACATGTGCCCTGCTCAGCACATTCTCTTAATCTTGTTGGGTCATGTGCTGCGGAGTGTTGTGTCGCTGCAGTTTCATTTTTTGGACTTTTACAAGCACTCTTTAATTTTTTCTCTGCTTCAACGCATCGGTGGAGTATACTCAAGTCAACCATTCATGGAGATGTCATCAAATCATTGTCAACTACAAGGTGGTCAGCACAGCATGATGCAACACATGCTTTGAAAGACAGCTTTGCTGAAATACGTTCTGCCTTGATCCAAATAGCAGAGGATGAAGACCAGACAGCAACTACAAGAAGCGAAGCAGCCAGCTTAGCATCAAAATTGGAAGATTTTGAATTGACCTTACTCTGTGTGCTTTGGGACTGTATACTGGAACGGTTAAATGCCACGAACAAGACACTTCAGAAAATTGAAATTGAAATGGCTACTTGTGCTAACCTCTATGCAGGCTTAGTGGAATTTGTAAGCTGACTTCGCAATGATGAAACTTTTGAAATGTTTGAAGAGAAAGCTAAACTGCTGGTGAAAGACTACAGTTACCGGGCAGATCATCAGCGGTCAAGGAAGAGGAAACGCAATTTTGAAGAGCCAGATAATGAAATTGTGTTGCTACCAAGGCAGAAATGTAAGACAGCTACATACTTCGTCATTCTGGATTCACTGATTACAGAATTGGTGAAAAGAAATCTACCAGAATCTCAATGACAAGTTTGGATTTCTGTTCAAAATTACTACTATGCCAGATGCAGAATTGAGAGAAGCTGCATTAAAGTTGCAACAATACCTTTCAGCAGATGTTCAGGACACATTTGTTGAAGAAATAGTTCATTTTTCTGGGTATATGAATCAGATTAAAGCTCCACCTGAAAAATGTGCGCCCTCAGCTGCTTTGAAACATTTAAGAAATGCAGGTATCTCAGAAACCTTCCCTAATGTTGACATAGTGTATCGCCTTTATCTAACACTTCCAGCTACTAACTGTGAAGGAGAACGTTCATTTTCTTTTTTGAAAAGAGTGAAAAACCAGCTCCGTTCAACAATGAGCCAAGACAAATTGTGTAACCTAGCCTTGTTGACCATTGAGTCTGATCTAACAAGAAATATTGATTTTCAGAATATAATTGATGATTTTGCCAATATGAAATCCAGAAAAAAGTTTATTTAAGAAGTGCCTGTGAATATAAAAAATTCTTTACTTTCTTGAGTTTATATGATTTGATAGTCTTATGCATGATGCAATGATAACAATAATGGTCAGTGATTAAGTGATAAAGGGAATAATAGTGCTGTAGTGGTTATGTTGAATATAATAGGTACATGATGTCACTACTTTAATAGCCTAATCTAGTAATACTATGCTGTCTTGAGTTTATTCTCTTTAAAATGCATGATTTAACAAGATAGTTATAATGGCTGCTGGTAAATGGTTTTGGTTGTCTTGATGTACTTTCCCTATTAAATTTAATCTAAATAGCCAGAATGTATTTAATTAAGACCTTAAACAGGCTCACACCGACCCCCCCCCCACCCCCAAGCTGGAAGGAGTCGCTTCGTTTACCCGTAACTCAAAGGGGCCCCGCCAATCTGAATAGCCTAGGGCCCGGAGACTTCTTAATCCGGCCCTGCCTCTGGGTGTACATATCCTGTGTTTGTGATGGGGTAGAGAGTTATAAAATACTTACAGGGACGTTACAGACAGTGGCGAATGCTAATATTACCTAACAAGGTTTGTTCTCTTATATTGTGGGATTTCTCACGTATTATAACTACCATTGTTTAATTGTAGAGTGTAAACTTCACTTACTTATAGCCTCAGGTGCGAGTCATTCATTACGATTCTTCAGAGCACGCACGCACGCACGCACGCATCTGAAGTTTGAAGCATTGATGGCCAAGTGGACTAAGGCGTCTCGGAATTTTGGCGGGATTCCGGGTAGGCGTGCCAAAATATCAGGGGTTCGATTCTCGGTTTGTATTATATATTCAACACGACGGCTCTCTCCCGCCGAGGCAGGGTGACCCAAGAAAGAAACACTTGCACCATCATTCACACAATATCAGTCTTTGCAGAGGCGCCCAGATATAACAGTTTAGATGTCACTTCTACAGCCAGTATCCCAAACCCCTCCTTTTAAGTGCAGGCATTGTACCTCCCAACTCCAAGACACACACACACACACACACACACACACACACACCTGGTCCAGCAACTGACTTCTCGAATTTAATCCCGCCAAATACAAAGTCATGAAGATAGAGGAAGGGCACAGAAGACCGCAGACAGAGTGTAGGCTAGGTGGCCAAAGACTGCAAACCTCGCTCAAGGAGAAAGATCTTGGGGTGACCATAACACCGAGCATGTCTCCGGAAGCACACATCAACCAGGTAACTGCTGCAGCATATGGACACCTGGCAAACCTGAGCGTTCCGATACCTTAATAAGGAATCGTTCAAGACACTGTACACCGTGTATGTCAGGCCCATACTGGAGTATGCAGCACCTGTTTGGAACCCGCACTTGATAAAGCACGTCAAGAAACTAGAGAAAGTGAAAAGGTTTGCGACAAGGTTAGTTCCAGAGCTAAGGGGAATGTCCTATGAAGAAAGGTTAAGGGAAATCGGCCTGACGACACTAGAGGACAGGAGGGTCAGGGGAGACATGATAACGACATATAAAATACTGCGCGGAATAGACAAAGTGGACAAAGACAGGATGTTCCAGGAGGGGACAAAGAAACAAGAGGTCACAATTGGAAGTTGAAGACACAGATGAGTCAGAGAGATATTAGGAAGTATTTCTTCAGTCATAGAGTTGTCAGGCAGTGGAATAGCCTAGAAAGTGATGTAGTGGAGGCAGGAACCATACATAGTTTTAAGACGAGGCTTGATAAAGGTCATGGAGCGGGGAGAGAGAGGGCCCAGTAGCAACCGGTGATGAGGCGGGGCCAGGAGCTCGGTCTCGACCCCCGCAACCTCAACTAGGTGAGTACACACACACACACACACACACACACACACACACACACACACACACACACACACACACACACACACACACACACAATATATATATATATATATATATATATATATATATATATATATATATATATATATTATATATATATATATATATATATATATATATATATATAATATATAATTGAAAAGGGAAGAGGGAGAGTATGAGCAGTCATGGGCACTGAACCCACCACCCCATGTTAGATGGTCACTACCACTTCACCAATGAATATATATAAAAAGAACTGGATGGTAGCTTGATATATCCAGTGTATATACATTAATGTTGCCACCCTGTCCCCCTGTCCCTGCATTTCCTCGACGGAAGCTATCTTATCGTTATGGCTAATGGCAAGCTCCGTTGACGTATCTCAGTGCCTTTTTTTAGGCTCAAATGTCGCAGAACAACCTTAAGAGACCCACGAGCTTTAGTTTAACACCTTCAAGAGGGCCCACTAGCTCTAGTTTAGTGCTATCAAGAAGACCAAGGAATTGTAATTTATCATCCTCAAGGCTCAGGAGCTGTAACTTAACGCCCTCATATGAGAGAGATTTACTACCCAATTTTATTCATCGATTTTCTGTCCCACCATCAGTTCCGCTGTATGAGTGGAATGGCCGTTCCACCAGACTGTCTTGGCATATTCATAATCATCCATTTCGACACTGAGAAAATTTGACACAACCTGGTTATATCGCAACTTATCCCAAACCCATTTTTTTGACCTTCCATATTTTTCTAAGGACTTCTTTTTACAAGATTCTTGTTTGGGTCAGTGACTTCTCGGTGTTAATTATCAAAAATGGATTCACCACAATCTTCCTCCTTGGACTTGCTCGTCATTGTATGTAAATGATTTTACCATTGCGTACACTGGTACAGACAGTCAGCTGGTGGATGCCTCGTTAAAATGTGCTATTGACTGTACTTCCGGCTGGGCCACGTCATAAGGCTTCAGGTTCTTTGTATCCCGAACATGTTATATAACCTTAAACCCGGCTTCTTTTCACTGCCCTTTCCTCCTGTTGCGGTTTGATGACTGTAACATTCCTTGGTCTCCTCTTCCATTGATGACCGCCATGAAAACATTATATTTTGTATTTTTTTTCAAAAGCTGCGTGTCTTAGTAGACTGAATTTTATTTTTTTGGGGGGAGAGGGAGGGTTGATAGACGAATTTCTTTGTCTTCCTTTTACCTTAGTCGTGTCTCAACTAAACCATGGAAACAAAGTTTATTCCTTTGCTATTTAATGTCAAGGATTTGGTTTATGTCTGAGGTCCCTTCAGTCATACCGTGTACAGAATCTAAATACAAATTTTAAATATCCTTTCCTTTATATAATCGTCGTGATATAGTCTCCGTTATTTATTCATTTTGATGATCTTGCAGCCTTTAGTTTCTTTCGCCACCTTTCCTTATTACCTCCCTTCAAGTTTCACATTCAGTCTCTTGTAGAGGCCCGTTGTATCCCTGGTTTGTGTTCTTTTTATCTTTATTTTACCTTTCCACCACTGACAGTACCTTTGTCTAGTTAATCCCTCTCACGATAACTTGTTCAGCTTAGGATTCGCTCTCACTCTTCATATATGGCAGTCGCCCTCAGATAATACCGCTGTGAACGTCAATGGCATCAAGGACCCTGCTAGGATGGGATACGCCTCTGTTTTTCTTGATCGTATGTTCCAAGGACAACTACAATCCGCCAATATTTTCATCATGTTCTCCTCGTCAGGTGTTGTAGTCTCACGTTGTTAAGTGAGTTGTTAGTGCTCCGCACAAAACATACCATACAACGGGTAGGGATAGAACCCGCGATCAGAGAGTTTCAAAACTCCAGACCGTCGCGTTAGCCACATCTTTGCTCCTCATATCCTCTTGAACATTTTCCATTTATCATTATCTTTTTCGTTGTGTTAGATTTTTTTATATTGTTGAATCTCTCGCTGATCACACAGATTTTTATTAATTATATTTGTATCATTTACTGTTTTTTATCACAATGGCCGTCTCCCACCAAGGTATGGTGACCCAAACTAAGGAAACGTTCACCATCATTTATTAAATAGCTATCTTGCCAAAAGTGCGAAGATATCACAGTTCAAATGACCCTCCGAACTGCAACATCCTCATTCCTCCTTCAAGGTGCAAGCACTGTACTTTCCACCTCCAGAACTGAAATCCAGCTAACCTGTTTCTCCGAATCCCTTAATACACGTTTTCTTCCTCATACCAGACAGCACGCCTGATTTTTAAACCACTTCTCTTCACTAACTCCCATTTAACAGGATCACACTCCTGCTGAATGCTCAAGCCCCTACCACTTCCTTCACACTCTTCCTCCAACCTTTCCTAGGACTACCCGTATCTCTTTGTGTTACCATTTACATTACTGTATCGTAGCTGTTTAGCCTCTTGTGATGTATTTACTGTAGTGTAGACCAGGATACCTTGTAATAAGTTTTTGTCGTGTTATGTTTACAAATATATAAATTAGAATGTACTCTAGCACGAGATAAAATGGATAATTATCATTCTTAATGTCGTTTTCATCCTCAAAATGTGCTGAAGAGAGGATGTAGTACGAAAGAAAGGATGACAGATTGTGTGAATCACAATATACAAATGTAATATGAAATTCAGATTTTAGTAAATATATTTTTAATCTTTTTGAAGCAAGTTTGAACTTTTCTTGCCCACAGGGAACACCAACGGAGCGGATTTTGTTGACAAGCAGTCAACCACCTAGTGTACCCCTGCCCCAGCCTTCACTCAGGCTGGTGGACGGACCTACGCCCCTTCAAGGCAGGCTGCAGATATTCTACAAGAACAAGTGGCGCTCTATATGCACAAACTCGCGCAAGTAAGTGCACTCATGGATTTTAATTGATCTGCGAGATGCCAGTATTAATGCCCCAGTGTGCCTTTTTTATGTGAATGAGAATATGAATTCCAGCTAGATTGCTAGAGCACTCAGCTCCCACACTGAGGTCCGGGGGTCGATTCCCTGTGGAAACATTAGGACGTGTTTCCTTAAGACACCTACTGTCCATGTTCACCCATCAGTAAAATAGGTACCTGGGTGTTAGTCGATTGGTATGGGTCGCATCCTTGGTGGAACAAAATTGACTTAATTTGCCCTAAATGCTCTGCATAACCAGGGGGTCTTCTGTATAGTAGTTTGTCATTGATGTCAGCTAGGCCTGTGTACCTTGTACATGTACTAGTAGAAATAAAGATTATTATTATAATTCTCTTGTGCGTTTGCTTCTACGTTTAATAAACAAAAGTTCCTATAATGTGGCTGACTCCACAAGGTTCCTTGAGGCCGGTGGGGGGACCCTTGTTCCAAGGAATTAAACCTGACTTCCCCATCCATAGATCGAAACTGATACTTCTAATTTTCCTGGTCGCTGAACGACCACTACAGGTTAAAAGAAACACATGGATGTAAATAATAAAAATAATAGTAATAATAATAGTAGTAATAATAATAATATTTTTGCTTAAATACCGTAATTCACAACTAATCCACGAAATGGAAATTAAATTTGTTCCAGGTTTTGGTTAAAAACTGGTTTACACATCTGCCACCGAGCCTTCATATAATTTGTTCTATTCCTGTTCCTCTTATTCTATCCCATACGTTCCTTTTGCTCTATACAATATGTTACTGAAACAAGCCTCCCTTTTCAACAAATTTAATTAAAGAACACGAAAGAAGTGTTCCATTGCTAACATTAACAACGTTTTCCTGTGTTGCGTTAGGTACCATAGCCATCCCGTAAGTTAATCCTCTGATAAAATTATCGAGCCCTCTTCCAGTTTTCATAGACGCCGTCTTCTTCAATCTGTCTATACACAATATTCATAATATGAATGTTAGTAATGGGTTTAGTTCTGTAAATATTTGCCTCTCCCAGTACATTGTTAAATGCTCTTAATCTTCACGCCACACGTGACTTGACCTGACTCAGGCCGTCTCCACACCTCCCACTGCCTTGACCTGACTACTACCTTTCTTCACTTTGTTTACTCACTCGCCACTTGATAATAGTTCGGTTGTCGTTTCCAAACTAGGTTTAAAGTCAATTGATTTTAACTATATTTTTGGTAAGTGTATTCAAGAGAATATCACCTATAATCATTGTGCGAGAATTTATTTGTATTCACATGGTGGAGAGTGTTTGTCATGCACACTGGAGCTGTAGTGGTTCCAGTTTTAAACTTCGAGGCTGTCAATGACTCACTTGAAGGATTATTTGTTTTATAAACATATCATTCCCAGCCTCAGCCTCCACACACGTGCTTTTGTCACCTTTTGTGCCACACAAAAGATACGGAGGATCAGTTGTTCCACTTGCTTGACCCACAAAACAAATATCCGAATGAACCATTTTATGCTTTTGAAAAAAATTCTTGTCATCAGATATGCGAATTCTCAGGTATTTTCCGGGAAGACGGGAGAGAGGGACGGAGATCTTAGGGATTTGTCAGTCAGCCTCGAGAAAACATTTGTTATACTTATGGAAAACATATGTATTGGCATGGTTAAAGTGTAGTAACAAAAATAACTTAATACTTTGTCCACATTCAAATGAGTTTATATTAACAAGAAAACGCTTGGGGAAGGGGAGGTAATCAGGTTTGATACAAAGATAAGAAAAGTATCTCCAGTTCCTTGGATACAGAGCCCTTCACCAGCATCAAGGCACACCCTCAACAATCTTGAAGGGGTTCACATATCAAGCTCATCAGTTTAGCAGATAACTGAGATAAATACTGTCAACAGTATTAGTTATGTAGTATACTGATAAATAGTTAAAGAGCCTATTGGCTACTGTCCCAGTTAGCCATGTTCAAGGAGCGCGTCATATCATATGAATTACTTAAGTTAATTTGAAAATTCCGATGGGAATTTGCAACATGGAAGGTTTGCGTTTCCGAGAAACTGATTATCTTGCAAGACAATATATAAGAATGCATGACATGAGATATGGCAGTTCATCTCTGCTGTAACAAAATAAGCATACAGTGCTCCTGTGTATCACGAGACAATACAGTGATCCTGTGTATCACGAGACAATACAGTGTTCCTGTGTATCACGAGACAATACAATGCTCCTGTGTATCACGAGACAATACAATGCTCCTGTGTATCACGAGACAATACAATGCTCCTGTGTATCACGAGAAAATACAATGCTCCTGTGTGTCACGAGACAATACAGTGCTGTGTTTCGCGAGACAATACAATGCTCCTGTGTATCACGAGACAATACAGTGCTCCTGTGTATCACGAGACAATACAATGCTCCTGTGTATCACGAGACAATACAATGCTCCTGTGTATCACGAGACAATGCAATGCTCCTGTGTATCACGAGACAATGCAATGCTCCTGTGTATCACGAGACAATACAGTGCTCCTGTGTATCACGAGACAATACAGTGCTCATGTGTATCACGAGACAATACAGTGCTCCTGTGTATCGCGAGACAATACAATGCTCCTGTGTATCACGAGACAATACAATGCTCCTGTGTATCACGGGACATTGCAGTGCTCCTGTGTATCACGAGACAATACAATGCTCATGTGTATCACGAGACTATACAGTGCTTCTGTGTATCACGAGACAATACAATGTTCCTGTGTATCGCGGGACATTACAGTGCTCCTGTGTATCACGAGACAATACAATGCTCCTGTGTATCACGAGACAATACAGTGCTCCTGTGTATCACGAGACAATACAATGCTCCTGTGTATCACGAAACAATACAGTGCTCCTGTGTATCACGGGACAATACAATGCTCCTGTGTATCACGAGACAATACAATGCTCCTGGGTATCACGAGACAATACAATGCTCCTGTGTATCACGAGACAATACAATGCTCCTGTGTATCACGAGACAATACAATGCTCCTGTGTATCACGAGACAATACAATGCTCCTGTGTATCACGGGACATTACAGTGCTCCTGTGTATCACGAGACAATACAATGCTCCTGTGTATCACGGGACATTGCAGTGCTCCTGTGTATCACGAGACAATACAATGCTCCTGTGTATCACGAGACAATACAATGCTCCTGTGTATCACGAGACAATACAATGCTCCTGTGTATCACGAGACAATACAGTGCTCCTGTGTATCACGAGACAATACAGTGTTCCTGTGTATCACGAGACAATACAATGCTCCTGTGTATCAAGAGACAATACAATGCTCCTGTGTATCACGAGACAATACAATGCTCCTGTGTATCACGAGACAATACAGTGCTCCTGTGTATAACGAGACAATACAATGCTCCTGTGTATCACGAGACAATACAGTGCTCCTGTGTATCACGAGACAATACAATGCTCCTGTGTATCACGAGACAATACAGTGTTCCTGTGTATCACGAGACAATACAGTGTTCCTGTGTATCACGAGACAATACAATGCTCCTGTGTATCACGAGACAATACAATGCTCCTGTGTATCACGAGACAATACAATGCTCCTGTGTATCACGAGACAATACAGTGCTTCTGTGTATCACGAGACAATACAATGCTCCTGTGTATCACGAGACAATACAATGCTCTTGTGTATCACGAGACAATACAGTGCTCCTGTGTATCACGAGACAATACAATGCTCCTGTGTATCATGAGACAATACAGTGCTCCTGTGTATCACGAGACAATACAATGCTCCTGTGTATCACGAGACAATACAATGCTCCTGTGTATCACGAGACAATACAGTGCTCCTGTGTATCACGAGACAATACAATGCTCCTGTGTATTTCGAGACAATACAATGCTCCCGTGCATCAAGGAACAACACAATGCTCCTTTGTATCAAGAAACAACACAATGCCCCTGTGTATCAAGGAGCAACACAGTGCTCCCGTGAATCAAGGAACAACAGAATGCTCCTGTGCATCAAGGAACAACACAATGTTTGTGTGCATCAAGGAACAACACAATGTTTGTGTGCATCAAGGAACAACACAATGTTTATGTGCATCAAGGAGCAACACAGTGCTCCCGTGCATCAAGGAACAACACAATGCTCCCGTGCATCAAGGAACAACACAATGCTCCCGTGCATCAAGGAACAACACAATGCTCCCGTGCATCAAGGAACAACACAATGCTCCCGTGCATCAAGGAACAACACAATGCTCCCGTGTATCAAGGAAGAACACAACGTTTCCGTGCATCAAGGAACAGCACAATGTTTTTGTGTACCAAGAAACATAATGCTCCCGTGTATCAAAGAACAACACAATGCTCCCGTGCATCAAGGAACAACACAATGCTCCCGTGCATCAAGGAACAGCACAATGCTTTTGTGTACCAAGAAACATAATGCTCCCGTGTATCAAAGAACAACACAATGCTCCCGTGTATCAAAGAACACAATGCTCCCGTGTATCAAGGAACAACACTATTCTTCCGTGCATCAAGGAACAACACTGTGTCTGTGTATTAAGAAACAATGCTCCTTTGTATAAGAGCACAACATAATGCTCCTGTGTATCAAAGAACAACACCATGCTCCCGTGTATCAATGAACAACACAGTGCTTCCGTGCATCAAGGAAGAACGTAATGCTCCTGTGCTTCAGAGGACAACACTGCTCTACTGCTGTCTCCCCTTCATATATCCTCAGAGTCATTTAGTTTTGTGACTATCATCATCATTTTCTGAGGAAGCGCTAAATTCGTTTAAGGTCATACAGCACCTGTCTTGGCTTAAATAGTTACATACAATATTGTGTTGTCCCTTGATGCCCAGGAGCACTATGCTGCATCTTGATGCCCAAGAGTATTGTACTGTCCCTTGATGCTCAAG